GTGGCCTTATCCCTCCCACAACACTCCCTCCCACAACACTCCCTCCCACACCACTCCCTCCCACACCACTCCCTCCCACACCACTCCCTCCCACACCACTCCCTCCCACACCACTCCCTGCCACATCACTCCCTGCCACATCACTCCCTGCCATGGCACTCCTCTCACTACACGTCGCTTCATACACCACAATCAGCCGCTCTCCCTCTCCCTCCCTCCCCATACACACAGCAATGCGCGTTCCCCCATCCACCCACACATGCGGCTTTTGAAATGTCTCGAGGTTGGAAAGGAGCGCACCACCACCACCCGCAGAAGGACAACATGAGAATGCACCTGAATGCACCTTCTCTGAGCGACCACGACCATTGGCCCAAGAACGGCAACCTGAGTTGCTGCTCGTCCCCTCCCACACGTGCACAGCCAGTACGGGCAGTGGATGCTGCACTTCTATACACACACTACCCCTTCCTCCCACACAGTTTGAGTGGCTGTTTTCCGCCAGCACGGGCAGTGGATGCTGCACTTCTATACACACACTACCCCTTCCTCCCACACAGTTTGAGTGGCTGTTTTCCGCCAGCACGGGCAGTGGATGCTGCACTTCTATGCACACGCCACCCGCGCCTCCCCCACACACACAGTTTGAGTGGCTGTTTTCCGCCAGCACGGGCGGTGGATGCTGCACCTCTATGCACACAGCACCCATGCCCGAGTCTCCCGCAGGGTTTGAGTGACTGTTCTCTGTCCGCACGGGCAGTGAATGGTGAACCTCTATGCACACGCCACCTGCACTTCCCCCACACACACAGTTTGAGTGGCTGTTTTCCGTCCGCACTGGTACTGGATGCTGCACCTCTATGCACACGCCACCTGCACTTCCCCCACACACATTTTTCCCATCTTTCACGACTGAACCATCTTTCCCACCTTCCATATCTTTCCCACCTTCCATATCCACACGCCTTCCTCCTTCCTCTCTGCCCCACACATCACCCCCCTCCTCTATGATTGCAGCAGCATCCACACCTTCACATCTTTCACTCTCCCCTCCTCTCTCCCCTCCTCTCTCCCCTCCTCTCTTCCATCCTCTCTCCCCTCCTCTCTCCCCTCCCCTCTCCCCGCCTCTTTCTCCTCCTCTCTCCCATCCTCTCTCCTACCCTTTCTTCCTTCCTCCATTCCCTCCACTGCCCCCCTTACTCCTCCCTCCTCCCTTCCCTCCTCTCTCCCCTCCACTCTAGCTCCCTTCCGTGTCTCCTCTCCTTCCCTCCCTTCCAATATCAGCACAGATTCCTTTCCGCCCTCCTTTCCCTCATCTTCATTTCCCTCCATTCCCTCCTCCCCCTCGCCTTGAGGATGTGACAGTAATGGTGGCTTTCGTGTGGAGACAGCGGGAACAGCCGGACGTGACAATGACAGAGGTGACAGCAAAGGTGTCATCTCATCCTCTTCAATAGAATCCGTAGGCAGTGACAACACCCGGTGTGACAATAACGGGGACTTGTGAGTGGAATCAGAACGAGCAACCGTGAGTGACAGTGGCAGTGACAATGAATGGGGTTGTGATTGAAACGAAGGTGTGGAATGAGGGCTGCTCTTGACTAGGGACAGAGGGGAGTAGCCTTTAGGCGTTATGCCTTTTTGCGAACTGCCTTTCGGTGTTCGACTTTTAGGCGTTTTGTCTTTTGGCAAGCTGCCTTTAACCGTGCTTTCTGCTGCTGCTGCCGCTGCTTCTGCTTCTGCTGCTTCTTCTGCTGCTGCTGCTGCTGCTGCAGCTGCTCCTGCAATAGCTTCTCCTCGGGTTGAAGGCGAACCTGCTACCTTTGCACCAGCAGCGCCAGAACCACTTGCTCGTGCACCCTTGCGACGCTTGGGCTGAGGACTTTCCCTGCATTCGTTTCTGCTGGTAGCTTCTCCTGCGGCACCACGTGTGCTGCCCTCTGTCTCTGCTATCGCCGCCGTCCTCTCTCTGTCACCACGTGTGCTGCCCTCTGTCTCTGCTATCGCCGCCGTCCTCTCTCTGTCACCACGTGTGCTGCCCTCTGTCTCTGCTATCGCCGCCGTCCTCTCTCTGTCACCACGTGTGTTGCCCTCTGTCTCTGCTATCGCTGCCGTCCTCTCTCTGTCACCACGTGTGCTGCCCTCTGTCTCTGCTATCGCCGCCGTCCTCTCTCTGTCACCACGTGTGCTGCCCTCTGTCTCTGCTATCGCCGCCGTCCTCTCTCTGTCACCACGTGTGCTGCCCTCTGTCCCTTCCATCTTTTCCGTCCTCTTTTCAATTTTCCCAGAACTGCCCCTCCGCCTTTTATTAATCTTTGTCAGACGGGTGTCAGGAGGTTGAGAGTTGCTGGGAGCTTCAGCAGCTGCCAAGGGTATTTTATTCACTGGAGGTCCGTCAGTTGCTGGAGGTCCGTCAGTCAGTGGGGATACATCAGTTGCTGGCAATCCGTCAGTTGCTGGCAATCCGTCAGTTGCTGGCAATCCGTCAGTTGCTGGCAATCCGTCAGTTGCTGGCAATCCGTCAGTTGCTGGCAATCCGTCAGTTGCTGGCAATCCGTCAGTTGCTGGCAATCCGTCAGTTGCTGGCAATCCGTCAGTTGCTGGCAATCCGTCAGTTGCTGGCAATCCGTCAGTTGCTGGCAATCCGTCAGTTGCTGGCAATCCGTCAGTTGCTGGCAATCCGTCAGTTGCTGGCAATCCGTCAGTTGCTGGCAATCCGTCAGTTGCTGGCAATCCGTCAGTTGCTGGCAATCCGTCAGTTGCTGGCAATCCGTCAGTTGCTGGCAATCCGTCAGTTGACTTTGCAGCATCCTCTTTCACATGACTGCTTTCCAGTTGCCATGCCGATTCAGCTTCACCGCTCAGGTTGAAGCCGTCCAAAAACGCCCTCATGTCCGCACCCACCTTACTGTCACATCTCTCACCTCCACCCCCCTTACTGTCACAACCCTCGTCTCCACCCTCCTTACTGCCACTATCGCCTCCACCCTCCCCTTCACCACTATCACAACCGCCGTACTGACTCCCTACTTCTCCCTTCCCACCACGGAAAGAACCGCCAGTACCGTTGCAAACCGAAGCACCTCGAATGCCACCGCCAATATCCTCGCTAATAGCATCCTCGTCACTGTCTGGAACTTGCACGTTGCTGCCACCACTGCCTGCCTCAGGAGGATCACGCACAGCAGCGGCCTGAGACGACTCAGAGATGATTCCAGAAGCTAGACGCACAACAGCCATGGCCGTCGGAGATGGCCGACCAAGTGAAACCCTAGCTGCTGGTGTTTGAAGGAGCCCTCCTGGTGTTTTAACCAGAGATGACCGCAACAGCCCTCCTGGTGTTCTTTCAATATCCGGTGTGAGTGTGGTTGCTGTTGCGGCTGCTGCTGGTGAAGATGACCCTGGGGAAGGCAATAACGGGGATGAAGTCAGTTGTCGCATCCGTCTCAGGTCACCTACGGTGCGCGGTCTCCTTCTCGGTGTATTGTCACCTTGCGATACAGGAACACGGCGTGATTTTGCGGATGACGGAACAGGAGAATTAGTAGCCTTATTTTTTCGACTGCTCGGACTATCGCACTGGTCCGTCCTCATAAAGGCAGAATCGTAAGAAGTCATATTGCAGAGTGGCGATCCTTCCTCCGCGAAATTCGCTTCGCGTCTCGACGAGTTTAACCCCCCATCGCCGTTTGCTGACGGGGTCAGCGAGGCGTACAAACGGCCGTCAGGAGAAACCGGCGTTGCCGGCGACGACGAGCCATTCCCTTGGGAGCCACAACTCTTCCTCGCACGCTTTTGCCTCGGCTTACGCGTTTTCCACTCCATGCTGGCGGATTGAGCAACAGTTCGGGCCATGGCGGACCGAAGGGAATGCCAGATGGCACTACCGTGATGGCCTTATTGACTGGCGAAAAAAACGGGTTAACTACGACGGGCTACGCAGCGTATATATCGAAGAAGGAGCGGGGCGAGACCATGGCGTAGCGGCTGCTATGAAAGACGGTGATGGAGGAAAGAGAGCATCCCGAAAGTTGGTTTCCACTCCATATGAACTCAATCGCTCTACAAGCCAAATCTCTGTACGGAACCACGATCGAACCTACGTTTAAGACTACTCGCTCGGATGACAGTGGAGGTTTCTCACGAGCTGGCAGAGTTATCAGGGAGTAGTATTGAATGGAGAGGGTCAGTGTATGAGCAGCAATACCAGCAGAATCGGGAAGAGTCAAGGTGACGCGACAATACCTCCGTTAGGTTGAGAGAGGTTTAGTATGTTTCAGCTGTATATTACCGTGGTAGGTCGAGGAGGAGCATTGGGTTTTGCCGCGGTGAGGACAGGGAAGATTTCGAGTTTGAATTGTTGGCGAACGCGATAACGCGTTCTCGGATATTGGCAATAACGCGATTCTTGTGTGCCATAGGACCGTTAATGGATATATGTTGCTAACCACAAAAATAACTTTCAGATCCAACTCAGCCTTACTATGCCCTTGTGTAATAAAAATAAGTTGCAGAAGCTTGCACGCTTTCAGTGACCCCATCAGAAAGGTGAAGTCACGCACACAGCTGACAGTCATAGACACTCCACTCCAGGTGTGCCTAACACCTTCAGATATATTACCGTACATGCTCCTGGCACGATTGGTGCATTAGGTGTGACCGAAAAAAGAACACAGCATTCTGTGACCAAATTAAACCTGGGGGGGGTCCAATATGGTAGGCTCATTCACGGTACACCAACATTGATGCACCAGCAAGAAAGAGGCAAGAAAACTAATGTCTATGAGAGGAGATCAGACCCAATAAGCGGATGCCATGGCAGGCGTCAAAGGTTTCCAAGACAAGGGCATTAATGCAGAAACAATGTTGCCTTGAAATCACACAACAGATGGCGAACGCCCTATAACCATTTACAGCTAATCACCGGTAGAAAGGAAACGACCAGCCGCTACCGTGGATCAGTGCGACACGAAGCCAAGCCTCCCGTGAAATCCGCTACTTCAGTTCTTCAGAGCATTCTGCCTGGAGATGGGATTTATGGCGACGGGAGGACCCGCCTCCCGCGGCCACGCGTCAAGCAGCTTGTCGCTGGCTTGGATCCACTCCCGCGTCATGGTCCGCGGTGTCTCTCCGCCGAACGGCTGCGCGCGCGCGGCAAGCCAGATGCCGTAGGACAGCGCGAGAGCCGAGAAGATCGGCGGGCCGACCTTGCTAAAGGGCGCGACCGTCATGGAGGTGCTCGGGACGCGAGAAGCGCTCTAAAGCGTGATTCTGGAAGCTAGGAAACCTGGCAGGAACTTAGGGTTACGGGCTCTCTAGCGGGCTCTCCTGGCAAAGAATGGTCTCTAGCAAGGAATGGTTGCCAGCAGGAGGAAAACTGAATCACAGGAACTCCGCCACGCTCGGGGGAAGGGTGGGGAAGGTTGGGGGGAAGGGGGAGAAGGCGGGGGGGAAAGCTGAAGGGGAAGAAGGTGGGGGGAGAGGCGGGGAGGCGGGGGAGGGGAATTGTTGGTTCGGGAGGCTGGTGGTATGGGGGGACAGGTCGGGCAGAGAAAGTAATTGGTCTGCGAACCACAGCAAACCACCTTGGGAACCAATCAGCAACGTCAAAATCATCATTCGAACCTCCAGAAACTTGTTACCAAGGTTTTCGTTCCTTGATTCAGAAGCACATGCGTCTTCGTCGATGTTCGCCAAATTGTCGTCACTTCGCGTAAATTTTCTGTGTGTCACAAAAGAACCAAGAGTGCTACATTTGAATCTGTTCCCCATTCGCCCCACAATTTACGCTATGGACTCGTAACTCGTATATCAGTTTTCGCCGTTCCGAACCCGCTCTCCGCAAATTACGCTATCTGCCGCATTAGCAGCGTCCGTTAATTCCGTAGGAATTCCGAAACCGCCTCCGTGGCCGCATGGCGTCCTGCGCGAGCGGAAGGCGACTGTCGACAGTCGTCCTTCCGAACCTTCACTCCCGCCTGCGCTGCTCCTCCGCGATCCGTACCAGTAGTTTGACAATTCGAGAATCACTTCTGAAATCGGAGCTGAGTGAAGCTCTCCCCCGCGAGTCCTCCTTCCACGCCGTCTTGACCGGTCGTTCTCTTACCACCGCTTCTGCCGCTTCGGTCCCTTTAGTTTCCGCGACGCAGCGGCAAGGGTCGCCAGTCGCGTCCCTGGATAGGCAGTTTTCCGCGGGACCGGCGGGACCAGCGGGATCCGCGCGACCTCCGCGCCCGTCGTCGGATTATCCATCGCGCCCGCCGCCGCCCGAAGCCAGTACGCACAGAAGCCAGAACACTTTCTGTGATAAAAGGGAGTTTTAGAGACGTAATAGAAACTCCCTTCTATCACGTCGTCGGATTCATCGCGCCCACCGCCGCCTGGAGCCAGTAGTGTTAAGATTAGTTTTACCAGTACGCACAGATTAGTTTTACCCTGTGTATCAGGTGACTGAATACTCACAGCTGGTTTTTTAGTCGACTCAGGACCGGCGGAATCCACGTGATCTCGGGACCTCCGCGGCCCACGTCGGATTATCCATCGCGCCCGCCGCCGCCCGAAGCCAGTACGCACAGACTATTACTAACAAGTGTATTAGACTGCCAGCTCCATTTTTTTTAGTCGACTCAAAATAAATCCCTTCCTTACCCTCGAGCCAGGCGACCCAGTACCGGCACAGGGGGGAAGGGGAGCAGGGGCGACAGCAGGAGGTACTTGGGGAGGCTTTTGAGACGTCTCAACGCTTCGTCAACCCCCCTTTCTTCTGCCTCCCGCTTCCCCCTCCCTTTACTTCCCCCCAGTGCCCATCATCGAGCCAGGCGATCCAGTACCGGCACAGGGGGGAAGGGCAGCAGGGGAGAGCGACTGGTGATTACGGCAACGTCTCAATTCTATGTTTTCCGCTCACGCCTCCCTTTCCCCATCCTCCCTCGCCTCCCTGTCCTTCCCCCCAGTGCCCATCATCGAGCCAGGCTATCCTGTACCCGGGCAGGGGGGGAGAGCAGCAGGGGAGAGCGACTGGTGATTACGGCAACGTCTCAATTCTATGTTTTCCGCTCACGCCTCCTTTTCCCCATCCTCCCCTCCCCCCCCACACATTTCCCCCAGTGCCCATCATCGAGCCAGGCTATCCTGTACCGGGACAAGGGGGCAGAGAACAGGGAAGAGGGCAATGGAGAGCTGGGAAGGGGGTGAGGGTACATGCGCGCTCAACCTGTTTCTCCCTCTTCCCTTCTTTCCTCACTCTATCTCTCCCCACCTCCCCCCTTTCCCCTCCCCCCTTCCCACCAGTGACCATCATCGAGCCAGGCTATCCTGTACCGGGACAGGGGGGGAGGGCAGAGGAGAGCGAAGTCGGGGAGGGGGATGAGGGAGGATGTGCTCTTATGGTGTTTCTCCCTCCTCCTTCCCTCCTTTCTTCACTCTGTCTCGCCCCCCCCCCCCCTTCCCCCCAGTGCCCATCGTCTCAATACTCTGTTTTCCGCTCACGCCTCCCTTTCCCCATCCTCACCTCCCCCCCCCACATTTCCTCAAGTGCCCATCATTGAGCCAGGCGATCCTGTACCTGTACAGGGGGGGAGGGCAGCAGGGAGAGTGCAAGCAGGGAGGGGGATGGGTGTGAATGGCAGCAGGGGTGACTGCAGGAGGTACTTGGGGAGGCTTTTGAGACGCCTCGACACTTTTTCAACTCCGCTTTTGAGTCGACTCAAAAGTCATTTTGAGACGTCTCAACTCTTTGTCAACCCCCCTTTCTTCCCCCTCCCGCTTCCCCCGCCCCCGTCCTCCCCCCCCCCCCCCCCAGTGCCCATCATTGAGCCAGGCGATCCTGTACCTGCACATGGGGGGAAGGGCAGCAGGGGCGACTGCAGGAGGTACTTGGGGCGGCTTTTGAGACGCCTCAACACTTTGCCAACCCCTCTTTCTTCCTCCTCCCGCTTCCCCCTCCCGCTTCCCCCTCCCGCTTCCCCCTCCCCTTACTTTCCCCTCCCCTTACTTCCCCCCAGTGCCCATCATTGAGCCAGGCGATCCTGTACCTGCACAGGGGGGAAGGGGAGGGGAGCAGGGAGAGTGCAAGCAGGGAGGGGGATGGGTGTGAATGGGAGCAGGGGCGACTGCAGGAGGTACTTGGGGAGGCCTTTGAGACGCCTCAACACTTTGTCAACCCCCCTTTCTTCCCCCTCCCGCTTTCCCCTCCCCTTACTTCCCCCCAGTGCCCATCATCGAGCCAGGCGATCCTGTACCGGCAGAGGGGGGGAGGGCAGCAGGGGAGGGGGACGAAGGGGCATGGGCGCGGGACCAAGGGCGAATGCAGGAGGTGTTTGGGGCGATCAGGGAGCACCGAATCGACACTGTGGGGCGAGGGCAGGTGGGTTGCGATTGAATATGAGGCAGGTGGGTGCATGGATTGCGGGGGCATGGGTGCGGGAGCCAGGGCGATAAGGGAGCACCGGATTGACACTGTGGGGCGAGGGCATGTGGGTTGAACTCCGAGGCAGATGGGTTCAGATGGGTTGAGAGGGATGGGTGCAGGAGAGATGGTTCATGGGACCAAGGGCGAATGCAGGAGGTGTTTGGGGCGATCAGGGAGCACCGAATCGACACTGTGGGGAGAGGGCAGGTGGGTTGAAGAAGTGAGGCGGTGTGCAAGGCAGGTGCGCGTGTGTGGGCATGTGCGGAAGCAAATGCAGGAGGTGTTTGGGGCGATAAGGGAGCACCGAATCGACACCGTGGGGAGAGAGCAGGTAGGTTGAACCGCACGGGATCAGGGCAGGAGGGTAGGTAGAAAGGTGACGGGGTGGGGGGGTGGGAGCATGGGTGGGAATGAGAGCGAATGCAGTAGGTGGTTGGGGCAATACGAGAGCACCGAATTGACACCGTGGGGAGAGAGCAGGTGGGTTGGTTTGACAGACGAGGCAGATGGGTGCAGGTGGGTTGAGGGGGGAGGGGGGATGATATCTTGTGGCCAATTGAAACGCCTTGGGGCAGGGCAGGAGGGTTGGGCGGAAAGGTGAGGCACTGTGTGTGTGAGGCAGGAGGGCTGGGCGGAGAGGTGAGGCACTGTGTGTGTGAGGCAGGAGGGTTGGGCGCACGACCTAGGGCGAATGCAGGAGGTGTTTGGGGCAATATGAAGCACAGGATCGATACTGGGGGGAGAGAGAAGTTGCGTTGGGAGCTGAGGAGGTGGGTGGAGATGGGTGCAGGTGTGTGCAGCTGGGTTGATAGGGAGAATTACATACTACCCAGGGATGATGCAAGAGGTGCTTGACCCTGTGGGAAGGGGCCACGTGGTTGACCCTGTGGGAAGGGGCCCTGTGGGAAGGTTGAGTGGGAAGGGGCCCTGTGGGAAGGTTGAGTGAAACCCCTGGGGACAGGGTTCTTGGGGCGATGGAGTTCGTGTGGCAACGTGGGAGGGGATGGTGTGTTGGGATTCTGATCGTGTCGCAAGCATTGGGTTTGCGGTTGAGTTTTGAGACCTTTGAGTCTCGAGATGTCTCAGAGACTTGAGAGCTCCAGGTGCCACCTCGTTCGTTTCCGTTCCCTTCCCTCCACTCGCTGCACCTGACTCGCAAACGCATTTCGCAGCATCCCATCTCTTCTCCATTTCCTATTGGTGGCACTGCAGTATCAGTGGTGCAGAATCACTCGTTCCCGTTCCCTTCCCTCCACTCGCTGCACCTGACTCGCAAACGCATTTCGCAGCATCCCGTCTCTTCTCCATTTCCTATTGGTGGCACTGCAGTATCAGTGGTGCAGAATCACTCGTTCCCGTTCCCTTCCCTCCACTCGCTGCACCTGACTCGCAAACGCATTTCGCAGCATCCCGTCTCTTCTCCATTTCCTATTGGTGGCACTGCAGTATCAGTGGTGCAGAATCACTCGTTCCCGTTCCCTTCCCTCCACTCGCTGCACCTGACTCGCAAACGCATTTCGCAGCATCCCATCTCTTCTCCATTTCCTATTGGTGGCACTGCAGTATCAGTGGTGCAGAATCACTCGTTCCCGTTCCCTTCCCTCCACTCGCTGCACCTGACTTGCAAGGGCATCTTGCTGCATCTCATCCTCCCTTTCTCCATGTCCTGGTGGTGTTAGCACCAGTAGCTGGTGCTACTTCATATAATCACTTGTATCGCTTTCTTGATGCTCGTGCTGCTGCTTCAATCCCTCTTCCTCGCTCTCCTCCATCCAACTACCCGCCTGCAGACCAGGGGGGATGCCCAAGGCGACAAGTCCCCATCAGGGCGAATCACTCTGGTTCAGCTCAAGGAATTGCTCTCTCTCCCTTCCCTCACACTCCTTCCCTCAACACTCCTCTCCGCCTCACTCCCCTCCTGCAGACCAGGGGGGACCGTCAAGGCGACAAGTCCCCATCAGGGCGAATCAATCTGCTTCAGCTCAAGGAATTGCTCGCTCTCCCTTCCCTCACACTCCTTCCCGCACACTTCTTTTCTCACACTCCTTCCCTCAACACTCCTCTCCGCCCCACTCCGCTCCTGCAGACCAGGGGGGTGCTCAAGGCGACAAGTCCCCATCAGGGCGAATCACTCTGCTCCAGCTGAAAGAATTGCTCTCTCTCCATGCACGGGGCAGTGGGGACAGCAGCAACAGCAGCAGTAGCAGCACCCCTGTAATTCCCGGGGTTGACTCCTTAGCTACCCGGTTCTCCGTTGATGCTTCGCTATTGGCCAAGGTTCTTGCACATGTGCGCATGCCCGCTCCTGAGGCATGATGGGACTGATACCATGTGGTGTTGGTAGCTATTGTTGAGTGCTGATGCTTCGCTATTGGCCAAGGTTCTCGCACATGTGCGCATGTGGACATGCGCGCACATGTCCCATTCCTGAAGCATGATGGGACTGATACCATGTGATTGGCAATCATTCTCGAGAGTTGGTGCTAGTTAACTATTATTCAAGGTGCTTGCGCGGTGCACACATGCCTTGATTTTCGAAGTGTGATTGATTGCTAACAGCATGTGACATATGCATGCCATGACCTGACCACCTGGCATGGGTTAAACTCTACCTTTAACCCCGAAGTGCGTAGAAGTATCATATGTGTGTGTTCACGACAACTGGTGACACTGAACAATGGTTTGTTTTCTTGTGGGGCTTTGTTCGGTAATTAATAGATTTCCCCGTGCTATTGGCTACTAGGTTGTGTACAAGTCTTCTCCTATATGCCTATTTACTATATGGCCTGTCCACTAGGTGGAATCAATAGTTTGTACTTATAGTGTAGTGATATTCCAGAATTCCGCCTAACCACATCCCATCCCATCCAAACCGCAGTTGGCCCAGCTCCACTTGAACCACCGCACCAACACCACTGGGCTAATTTTACTCGATGGATTGGATTCTCAGAAGAGTCTATCTGGCTCCAGGTGGCTGCCGCTCATTCGGAAGTGGCCAGCTGTCGGCTTAGGGGACAATGGGAAAATGGGTGACGTGTGAGACATTGCTGGGCACTATAGCAAGGAAGCAGCTCTCTGAGGAAACGTGAGGGAGGGAGGGAAGGGAAGAGAAGGGAGGGGTGGGCTGGGGCTTGCAGGGTGATTTTTTATAACCAGGTTTTCCTGCCCGGCCGTCACCAGCTCAACATTTTCTCTTATCAAAGCAGTGTCCCTTTCCATTTCCCTGCGGCAGAACCACCAAGATTTAACATATGCTGTTTCGCCGTCTAAACTCTTAACACACCCTGGTCTCCCCAAGTGTAGTCTTCGCTCTGGCTTCACTTTCGACCGAGCCCAACTGCCCACCTGCTCTCTAAATGTGAGAAAGTAGCACAAGCCAGCACAGCAGCGAACACTGCTGGCTTGTTGAATTTACTGATTCGTGACCTCTGCCTAACCCTCTGACTCCCCTCAGATTTAACTACGGTGAAGATTATACCTTGTTATTGTCACTAGACGACACGCAGATCTGGTTGGCCATGGCGATCTGAACTGGGCTGCCCAGAGAAAGCATCTCAGGACAGCCCCGGAGTAACCGAGGAGCCAAGCTTTATCGTTGGCGGTGCATGCGTGTTTCCAATCGCAGGCAATGGATAATTGGCATTTGTATCGAATCCGATTATCCCTCAAGCCGCACCGTCAGATGGTGGGGCGGGAATCAGGACAGACGATATGCTCCTCTTCGAGCAAGTGGTAGAATTATAGGAGGCATCCTCTCTAGTCGAAATGTATGGGAGACTCCTCCAAGGCCTTGTGGGGAACTCGAGGTAAGCTTTGCGCGTGCGTGAGGACAGGCAGGAGTGAGCTCTGTCGGGTGCGAGAGCGACGCAAGAAAAGGGCCGGCTTTTGAGGTCAAATCCTTAGGGCGGGGTCAGCGCGTTCGTTTTTCACGATTGTACAGTTCATCCGTCGTGGTGCAAAACGATTCCAATCGGTTTACAGCGGTTTCCAAGATCAACCGTTTTAGACCGTGACGAAACGAGAGTAACCGCTCATGATGAACTGTACAATTGTGTTAAACGAAGGCGCTGACCTCGCCCTTAGATTTCATTTCCTAAAGACGTATTTTTTTGTTCATAGCTCCGATCTGTGTGGCGTCGACAGCCTGTCCATGCCAAGTTGTGCACAGCAGTGCTCGTAATTTCACTCGAGGAATCATTGACAAAGCTTATCTTCCCAGTGTTTCGATTAGCCACACTAATGGCGGCGTGTACGACTTGGCAAGCTGTGAGTACTGTAGTACGCTAGTGCGGCAACTGTGAGCCTGACGTAGCTTCCGCACGTCCGATCCGTACTGAGAACTCATTGGATTCCGAACAAGCCTCCACAACATCATAAGCTCCCTCGAGCCCCGCTTATATAGCCCGGACTAATATTCAAGGCATCTAGTAGTATTTCAGAAGCAGAAAGAGTCTCTATGGTTACCTTCGAATACCTCAGAGTTTTTACTGCTGCTGCTGTCACAGAAAGAATTCTGTCGTCCGAGGTTCTGGAGATCCCCCATTGAGAGATCCAGCGCTTTGAGAAGTCCATTAAGTTACTCGTTTTTTTCCAGCGAGGTTACTGCTCGTTATGCCCAGTGGAGCCACCATGCATCCTTCTGGAGCTGCTGGTGCTGTCAATTCCGAAAGATCGCGCTTCTCCAACGTGAATCGCCGATTGGAGGCATGGAATCGCGCGACAAGCTCCCTCAATCCCGCTTTCCAGCCGTTGTCCAATCTCAGAAATCACCCAAAGAAATCGAGCATATCCGGCCGGGTTCCCGCAGCACCCAGCAGCACCGACTCCAATCGCCCTCACTACATCCCCCGCAGAGGGTCACTCCCTGACTTAGGAGCTGCTGGTAGGGATCCTTGGTCCCCCTCCTCCCCACTGGATCAATGTGCTACACCTAAGCCCTCCTCGGAATGCTCTCCTTTCGCTGATCCTGCTCGTGCTCTCAGAGTGTTTGATTCTGCTACGTCGCAACAGAGCAGTCAATCTGAACTGCAGGAGACAAATCGCCGCTTGAAGGGGGGAAATGCGGCCTCCTGTGGGACTGCCACGTGTGACACACCGAACAGTGCAGCTGACGAGGCAAGCGCGGGGTGTTTTAAGTTAGACTCCCATTCCGGAGTTTATGGTCATGTGGTGGGGGAAACCGCAATCAAGAAGAATCAGGGCCTGCAAATGCAGGGGAACATCGCGCACAGACGAGGGTTTTCCGTTACGTCGCTCGAGAGCTCAGCGGAATCAAGGCGGGAAGACAAGGAACCCGTCAGGAGAGGACGGAGCAGTTGTGACCTTGGGAAATTGAATAGGGAGGAGAGCAGCTGCTTTTTCAGCAGAGAATGTGGCTGTGTGGCAAGTGGCGGTAGCGCTGGTAGCACCACTGTTGTGTCTCCAGTGTGTAAGATAATGTCTACGGCCCCGCCTGTGTTTGTGTGGGCTGCTAGAAGGCGGATAGAGAGGAGGCTATCGCAGAGTGAAACTGGACTTGTGTGCACAACATCGATGTAATATACGGTAGTCCTATTTTACCTGCGTGACAGTATTTGAACTAAAACATAACAATGGCCTGTGTGCAAATGGTGGAATTAGACTCTGGAAAAGCTCTCAATTCACGTGGGCTAGGTCATGAAACGCTTTGCTGAGTTGTAAGTACCGTAAGAAGCAAAGCTACCGACCACCGTGCACTGGAAACAGAGTATGGATGCAACTCGAGTTTTGAGATGCACTTTGGCTTCTGTGAATAGAAGCAACAAATTAATTGCAGGGAGAAGATTGTGTGGTATTCAGAAGACAATGATGCGATTGTCTTCTGAAAAATAAAAAGTAAATACAGTTACAGAGAACATATGGGCGGATTATCGAATTGTTCCAAAAAGAGCTACGGTATATCTCGTTTGCTGCTTCCTATATTGGGTACCAAAGTTTACAATCATAAAAGTATAGATTCACCAAGTATCACTTCGGGTCTTCCGAACCTCCATCCAAACCTCCACTTCGTGTCTGACACGAGGTAGGAATGCACCCTCACTCAAAGTATCACTATTAATTCTGCAGAATCCTGCTGAATCCCTGGTTCTGCTTGTCTGCCCGTCGCTGAATGCACAATCATTTCTCAAAGTTTGCACCACAAACTGCTCATTGTCCACTGGCGGAAACATTTCCCCTACCTTTTTCCACATCTTCGCAGGGTTGATGGCAGCGAGAAAGAAAGGAGCAACACCAGCGAGAGGGTTGCTCCGTGCTGCTCTCCTCACCTCGAGATTGTTCAGTGCTCACCTCACCCTTTTAGGAGGAGGTCAGGTCTTCCACCTCACCCACGAGCAAGCTGGGTCAGGCTCACAACGACACTAGGTTGTTGGGTAGCCAGCCATGTGTAACTCTGACCCAGACCAATGCCTGTAATTGCTGCCGAGCATTCGAAATTTCGGACGGACCAATGCCCATCCGGATCAGCGTGTCCTTCTGTGCGACGCACACGTGAGTTTCAGGCAGTGTTACACTTGCACCAATCCTTCTGTTTCAAATCTCCGCACCTCCACTGTGGGGGTGGGTGGGTGGAAAAAATATTTTCACAATCATAATCCAGGACAGATCATGGAACTGGACAGAACCCATTTGATATGCGAGGTCCAGATCAGTGCAAAATAGCAGCCTTAGAGCGTGTCCAAAAATGAGGTGTTCGTGTATTTCAGACAGGTAACGGTCAGATCAACTCCGACGGTTCACCTCTCGCGACTTCTGTCGACACAAGTAGCGGAAACGAGTCCTTTCATAGGGTTAGGGGAAGAGGGTTCAAACGAGTCCCTTTCTAACCTAACAGACGCCGCCTTTTTGCGATCGCAGATTTGATGGTGGTTTAGCTCTCCACCTGAGCGTAGGGTATGCAAAAGGCGCCGCCGTTCTAGCTATCCGCGCAGATTTGATTGTGAAAAGGAGAACGCGAATGGATGAACTATGAATGAAGTGAGTACATATAGGAAACCCTAATTGGGTTGTACCCCCTATGGGATACCCCACTATAGCCTACACAACAGCATAAGCTATATAATGTTCTGACACACCCCCATAGGCAAAGTGGGGGAGAACAAGGGGTCACAAGACCAGTCACGCAAAGCA